AAAGTGCTAAATAAATGTTAAAAAAAACCCAGCAAAGGACGAGGAGCACAAAATGAAAATACTGTCCCGCGCGCTGAACCGCCAGCGCCGTCCGTCCTGCTATGACCCCTTTCCTCCACAGCATGCGTCTGTTCTTGTCATGCAAATAAGGATTGTACATTTTCCGCGCGGGTCGTCGCCGGAAGTGGTGCGAATATAGCCTAGTTTTTGTTTTTTTTCGTACAGGACACTTATTTTTTTTGTTTTTGTTTTCAGAATACATTAAAAAAAAAAAAAAAAATTTGACATGCCCTCTTGAGAATCTACTTCGAAAAGTCCTTGTAGAGAGTTGAAGCCTCACAACCCCCTCCCCCCCCAGGTTTTGTGGTTGCTCCTCAGGGGAGGGGTCTCTATGGTGCACAGTCTGTCCAATCAGTGCTCAACACGCTTTCTTTCCTGTGTTGGGACCGTGACGTGCTGCTTTCTGCGTTGCTGGTGCAGCCCCTGACAGGATGAAACATTTTCATTCCTCTCCAAGCCCCCCGCAACTTACAACTGGTACCACTTCTTGTCCTTGTGTTTCAGCATCAGCTGCAAAGACAGACAGAGACGTGAGACGTGACATGCGTGTAAAGCTCAATGGAGGAAAAACACTCAGCAGGTTATAATAAAGTCAACACTCGTTTTCAATCCAGAGCCGTCCCCTGCAGAATGTCCTTGTCAGGAACCGGGTCTGGGCCCCGGGGGCCTCTGCTGTGGCTGGCAGTGCTGAGCCACCTCAGAATCTTGGATAGCTCCTTGCCTGATCTCCTGTGTAGTCCTCAGTTACACCTAATCAGATGCTGAACTCTGAACTCCTTGCTCCTCCCTCGAACTTCCTATTTAAGCCCCGCCTCTGCACTTCCTGTTTGCCAGATTATTGTGCTCCTGCCTTGATCTTGCTTCCTGCTCCTTCTGTGATACAATCCGCTCATACTGCTACCCGTGTACCGACCTTTGGCTGCTGATTCACCGACTACTCCCATCGTCTTCCGCGTCATACCCGATACCTTTGGCACCTGACCTCGGCTTGATCTCTGACTACGCTTCTCCCCGCTCCTCCAGTACTACCGCCTGCTTGTGTACCGAACCCGGCCTGTTATACTACGACTAGCCTGCCGCTTCAGCTACTGGACTCCGAGCCTGATCCCAGATCGTGACAGTCCTCCTATCCACCAGATGTCCTCAGTCTTCCAGGTTCAATGACAGCCGGAGTCATTCAACCCGCTTTGTGTGAGTCTAGGCCAGTGGTGGAGAACCTCGGCACTCCGGCTGTTTTGGAACTACAAGTCCCATGAGGCATTGCAAGGCTCTGACAGCCGCAGACATAACTCCCAGAGGCAGATGCATGTTGGGATCTGTAGTTTTGGCACAGCTGGAGTGCCAAGGTTGGCCACCACTGGTCTAGGCTGTCATAGACCCGCCCCCTGGAGGTGAGTCATCAGAGAACTATGGGGTCAGTGTTTTTCCCCTTTGTTCTCTTAAGGGTCACGGGAGGACACAAACTAGCGTCCTCCCGTCACCCTAGGCTCAGTATATAGGGAGCTACAGCTCGCGGTATACTGAGACGCCGCAGCTGAAGCGGATCCCGACATTACTGTGGAGATCCGCCCAGCTGCGTGAGTGACAGCTGGCTCTGCCTATCTAGAGGCAGAGCCAGCTGTACCCGCCCCCTCCCTGTCCGTTCCTCCACTCAGCGCTAGGGGAGGGGGGGGAATCCCTGCAGGGAGCCGTGAGTGACAGTCAGCACTCTCTGCAGGGATAGATCGAGAAGCGAGCGACAGTATGTGTTCGCTCTCCTCCCGATCTACTGAGCCGACCTGTGACAGTCTCATTGCCACAGGTCGGCTAGAACTATGAGGTGAGTGAAAAGAACCCCCCCCCCCCCCTTATAGTTCTCCTTTAACCTTTACTGGCCAATAGCAGGCGTGGATGGAGGGAAGCCAAAACACAGAGTTTCTGGCTCACGTCAGTATTTGCATAATGGAGCTCCCGCTTCTAAAAATGCTCTGGCAGTAAACCAAAAGCACGAGCGGGAACCCGGCGGCGAGAGCCGGGACATTCCACTGGCACGTTAGTAAATATCACTGCAGGCAAACTGTAAGACCCCGTTCACACTGAGCGATTTATCGCGCGGTAATTCCCACGATATCGCGGCAATTTACCGCGCGATATCGCTCTCCAATGCTTCTCAATGGGGCAAAGGGTCCTGCTGTCGCGTGTCGTGCGTCGCTACTGCAGGACCCTTTTTGGAGCGGATTTAGCCGCCATTCAAGCTTGCTCAATGCATGCATTTGCTCGATATTGCGCAAAATGCAAATCGCGCGCGAACCGCTCAATGTGAACGGGGCCTTAAGGAGAAAAATGCTCATTGCTGACCTCCCTCCGCAAGTAATGGCTCCCCGGCTATCTCTTCTGAGTCACTAACAGCGGACAAGCATGTAGCCAGTGAAGTCAGAGGGAATGCAAATACTATTGATCAGTTGAAGCTTTTGGATCAGCAGAAGGGGCCTGTCTGCCTCTTCGCCTATATACCCCCCTCCCCATGTGGTCACCTCCCAGGTGACCGGTCTGCAGTCTGTGGGACCCACCGTGAGCGCATCCGCGATTATTCGCTCTCACCTCATGTGCGTGTTTGGAGAAAACCTCCGCGCTGGACAACATCCGTTCGGTCTTGTCCTCCAGTTCGCCCAGCCGCTGTCCTCTTTCATCCAGGGCGAGTCGTGTGCGGTACAAGTCGGCAGCCACGCCGGTGGCTGCTCCCTTCACCCCCTCTATGCCGCCCTGCCCGGGGATGTGCTGTGCCAGGCTGCGGGAGGCTTTTCCGGCTGAGGCTTCGCCGACTGCAGGGCAGAGAGGGACACGGCGGGTTACTCAGCTCACAGAGGCAAACATCATACAGAACGATTATTGATATAGGGACATGGACACTAAATTGCTAAAAGAATGCGATTAACCCCCCCCCC